GGACACCAGAAATGGGCTTCACACAATGTGCCCATGTGGGGATTCGAACCCGGGTCTTCGGCTAGACGAGCCAACGCTTTAACTACTAGGCTACCCCACCGCCCGCGTCGTGCTGTATAGGGATCAGTCTTTCCGATCGTTCATGGGTGCGATCCTCGTCTGTTTTGAGTCTACAAGACACATATGCTTACTTGCGTGTTCTTCATAATGTGTATGCAATCATGGTTTCAGGCATTCGTAAATAATCGCCACTTCCCGTGACCTACAAGAAGACAGGCTTGCCGGAATGAAACGAGTAGTTATGAATGGGTTTCATGTCGCTTTTAGCAATATTCTAGTAATATCTTGGCGGGGGACACCAGAAATGGGCTTTACACATTGTACCCTTGTAGGGAATCGAACCCAGGTCTTCGGCCTGACGAGCGGACACTTTAACCACAGGGCTACCCCACCGCCATGGTTAAACATTTGGTGGAGTGCAGTTGATGCTTATGACAGTGCAACATTGAAACCACACTGGAACACAGAACACATATTGAAAAGATGCGCCATTTAGAAATAATACCGGTAATTAAATCCTTTAAATAAATCTTTTAAAGTCTAACACAATTACGAATAGATTGCGGACCCGATGTCCGTGAGTGAGTTTAGTTTTACGCCGCACTCAGCAATATTCCAGCTATATAGCGGCGGTCTGTAAATAATCGAGTCTGGACCAGACAACCCAGTGATCAACAGCATGAGCATCGAGCTACGCAATTGGGAACCAATGACATGTGTCAACCAAGTCAGAGAGCCTGACCACCCATCCTGTTAGCCACCTCTTACAACAAGCATGGGTTACTCAAGATCAATATTCTAAACTCGGACTTTCACGGGTCCCTGATGTCCGTACATTTAGGGAGATGCTAAAAGTTAATTACATGCTGCAGACTGCACATTTAAAACTTACAATGTGTAAACTTGTACCTGGAAGTGCAGACAAATCAGCCATCAAAAGATACATCAAAGAGGAATGATCTTGTTACAATAAAGAGCACATTGATGGTAATTTGAATATTGATTGAGTATTGCTTAAAGTTACATTCAAAAGACATGCCACTTGAATCACAAAGAACCTATGTTAAAATGTATGGGCCAGATTCACCAGTAATTATAGTGTATGTGCAAGGGCCTATATAGTTTTATGTTGATACATAAGCGTGAAAGAGTGAGTTTAGTTTTACGCCGCTTTCAGCAATATCACGGCAGGGGACACCAGACATGGGCTTCACACATTGTACCCATGTACAGTGGGTAAAAATATTGAGGCAAAGTGTGAAGTTTGTATCATGAATGCGATCAAAGAATCTCCCAATTGTGATTATACAGTTTCAAGCATTATACCAATGTTTGCCAGCTTCATGACTGAGTTTGTTTTTTACGCCGCTTTTAGCAATATTCCAGTAGCATCACGGCGGGGGACACCAGAAATGGGCTTCGCACATTGTACCCATGTGGGGATTCGAACCCGGGTCTTCGGCGTGACGAGCCAACGCTTTAACCACTAGGCTACCCCACCGCCCCCGCCAGCTTCATGAAGTGATCGCGATTTCCTTAACTTTACATAACTGATGCGTCACTTGGAAATGCCCCACGATGACAGATTGTGTTAGGTTTACCTTCATGTTCAGGACCACTGAAGCGAGAAGCGAATAGCAGTACTGAATAATATACATGTTATCAACATTCTATATTCCGTCTTCATCAATTCCGCTTTTATGAAAGCATACAGTATCAGACAAATGATAGGAACTAATATAAAATAGGCAGACCCGATCGTGTGCATGAAAGCCTTGTTAATCGTGTCAACAAGCGAACACGTGTCTTTAAACTGTTGACGAATCCTCTCAATACATGAAGCCGATGTTTTTCTCAAACATGGTGGAGGCGTATGTTTCTCTGTATGAGTCATACTGTTTGAAGAACTAGAGCAGGTGTTTGTTTATATGAACACATGTGGCAGCAATTTTGTACATAAAACTGTTATGTTTAAAATTATGGTTAGAAATTATGGGAAGGGATTAGGGAGTCATTGATTTTTCCCTTATTTTGTACATGGGGTGGGGTGGGGGTGTCATTCACATTGTACATTTTGTCCATAAAATCATTTCTCGACGTTGAGATACCCGCTACCTCGTCTATTCCCAGAGCTGTTCCTCCATAACATCACCTTGGTCTGCTTTTAATTAAGTTAGTAATGTGTTTAGCATCTATTCCCAGAGTTTTAGGTAGATCGAACCTCGTCTGACACAGCCCTTGGTCATCGGTTTTTTTTAATGAAGTTAGTAGGATCTCCGGTTTTTTAGCATCTCGTTATCCGCTCCTGGGGAAAAGTGTGATCTCACCTCTTGATCGAACATACAGGCCCCGATTTCTTAGAAAAAGCTTAAGTCTTAGTTTCGACCCCATCGTTTTACTCAAATTTTGAAAATGCATTTCCCAAAGGATCTCTAAAATCGTTTATTAAACTCAAACATCGTTTAGACGATTTGAGTTTGGTGGATGATGACTTAAGTTGTTTGGGCTTTTATTTAAAAAATGCGATTGAGTAAGTCTAAAGCGTCTTCCAGTAGGGCGTTATAGCGCAACATTTTCTCGTGCAGTTTAACCGGTACTGATAATGCCTGTGTCCTTTCACCCTATCCTCTTGACCCGCGCCGTCGGACACTCACCCGTGTCATCTAAATTGCGTCGCCTTTCTATCAGTAAAAGAGTGTCTCCTCCGAGAGGAGAGTGTCCTGCCCGAGACCCCACTGATGCATCTCGGGTGGAATCTACGAGTCGGGGATACACTGTCTGAGGTAACACGACCACTTTGGTAAAGGAGGAAGACATAGTATGGTATTAAGAGATGGTGAGAAGGGGTCGGTCACATATTTGCAGGGATAACTCCTACTGGACGTACTCCACTGCACGTGGTCGTCGAAACAACATCACACATATGGACTGGCCTGCAAGGTCACTTGATCTGAATCCCATTGAACATGCTTGGGACATTATTGGAAGTCGTGTTTACGGTCTCATGTTCATCCCCAGACTCTGGATGACCTTGAGCAGGCGTTACAGAGAGATTGCAAAAAGGTCCACAACAGCAACTTTAAAGGCTCATTTGGTCAATGCAAAGACTTGTAGAAGCTTGCATTTGTGCTCATGGTGGTCATACGCGTTACTGAACACTGCGTCACTGTCCAAAACTGACTTGAACCTTAATGGTAACATTTTACTCCATCAATTTGGCACAATTTGCACCACTGTTTCACGGGTACATGATTTTGATGATTTGTAAGTCTATTATTGCTCAATACCATTTCATTTCGTTAATCGTGTGTACATGTTTCATCTTTCTATTGCATCATTCCATGATTTGCAATTTTAATAAATGAAAATGTAACGAGACTAAAAATTTGTGTTGCTTAACTGTTTGTGACGAGTATATTTTGAAATTAGTGCCAGTCGGGTCCTTAATATTATATACCCGTGAAGATTCGGGTTAGAATTGGTCTTCAAGTAATCCATGCTTGTCGTAAGGGGCGACGGATCGGGTGGTCAGACTGGCAACAATGTGTTGAAATGTAAACTGATATTCTTGCACCAAAATTGCCTGGTCTCATCTACCTGTGAAGATCCGGGTTAAAACAGGTCTTCCCGCAACCTCTGCTTGTCGTAAGAGGCGACTAATAGGATCGGGTGGTCAAGCTCGCCGACTTGGTTGACGTATGTCATCGTATCCCAATTGTGTAGATCGATGCCCATGCTGTTGATCACTGGATTGTCTGGTACAGACTTGATTATTTACACACTGCCGCCATATAGCTGGAACATTTCTGTGCAGCATTAAACAAACAAACCAGCTAAGTTTATAACACAACTGGGTTATCTAACAGTTCAGGTGAGGTGAGGTGAAATTGGGTTTTACGTCGTGCTTGAGAATATTTCGCTCATATGACGACGTGCATGCGTGTGTATGTGTAAGTGCGGCTGCTTGTACTAGCCCAGACTGAAGCTGGTTTTATAGTGCTAGCCCACTGAGATACCATGCCGCAGTAAAGCATGAATACCCCACTCAGACACAGTATACTGACTCCGAGCCGACCAGTCCTTGTTGTACCCATTAATGCCGAGCGCCAGGCAGGGACCAATAAGTACCATATTTTAACGTCTTTTGGTATGACGCGGTCGGGGATCGAACCCGCGACCTTCCGCTCTCCGGGCGGACGCTCTTACAACTACACCACGGAGGCGGTCCTCTAACGGTTCAGGTTTGAGAATAAGAGTGTTTTTATTGCTGTAATGAGTTTCTGCCTTGTATGTCCAAAACATAACAAATATTACCTAATGATCACAAAGGTATTATCTCATGGTCATAACATTTATGTTAGAATATGTTACATTGCCGAAAGTGTTTGAACGGGTATAAGTACATGCGCATTTACATTTTTCCTTTGCTGAAAGCAGTACTAGTATTTGGGTTATAATTGGTTTATGGTAACTCATGCTTGTAAGTGGCGACCATTCTGTTGATCACCGGATTGTCCGATCCAGACCGCCTTCATATAGCAACAGACATTAATCCAATTAGCTTTCTTGTAATCAATGGGACGGTGGGGTAGCCTAGTGGTTAAAGCGTTCGCTCCTCACGCCGAAGACCCCGGGTTCGATTCCCCACAAAGTGTGAAGCCCTTTTCGGGTGTCCTCCGTCGTGATATTGTTGGAATATTGCTAAAAGCGGCGTAAAACCATACTCACTCTTGCAGTTAATTCATCAACAGGTGACAAGGATTAAACTGTAACGAGTGATTCTCCTTCAATCAGCATCAGGGGTGGTGCTCAGCCACGTTTTTACCTCAAATGCGAGTCAGCAAGCATAACAAACGTTGAAGATCTGTAAATGTACTGCCAATCTGAATCTTTCCAATAATCAATGGCAATAATTCTGCAAACATTTATAAAACAAAAGCCACTTTTGCAAAACTTTATTAAGAATTGACGCCCTTTGGTACAGATCACTTATAAATAATGCATCCTTAACAATCCCCAGACTAGGCGTACATCCCTAGTTTCAACACAAGACATCAGTACAACCTATGACTGACAAAGTTACATGTGCTAGTTACTTAGCATTATAATGAGTGCAAAAAACATGTCACATGGTGTCAGTTGATTTCAAATGTTCACTTTTCGTGACAGGCAGCCTACTTGTCCATGTGATCACACTGCGGCCCGTAATCTCCAAATTCTCAAGTTGAACTACCAGCTTGTTTGGTAACCTACAAGTGTAACAGTATGTAAAGCAACGCACTGAATATTTTTTTTCTCAACGCCTGCATGACTCCTTTCATTATCAGGCTGTTACATGCCCTATACACAAAAATGGCAGGTGCTGAGTGAGGATGTAAAGAAATGTCGGGGAACATCTTGGTTGAAATCAGCACTGAAGCATTGACAAAACTGTCCTGAGCCATATGGGTGGGGTCAGCAAGTCGTTGCACCTCCCATAAACATCTTCCGAGCTTTGTCTATTCCATCTGAAGACTTCGACTCCCCATCGGAAGTAGCATACTTCATAAGCACATCCTGTAGTGCTAGCCGATTTCCAATATCCTCTCCCATCTTGAACTCAGAATTGAGTAAAGGCCGACATTCATTCACATTCATGTCTTTTCCAGCAGCAGTTATTCTCAACTGCCTGTCAGTTACTGTTTCTCAGAGGATTTGTGTCGGCATTCCATGGCCAGTAACAAATAAATCAGCTCACATGGCTCAGTACCCCCTTAGTTGACTACCTTCCTTCACTAATTCCACCTCCCCCACAACACCTTCTGTATCCAGTACCTTTTGTATTCAGCTCGTCTTGCTGAAGGTCCTCTGCATAATGCTCCTTCATGGTTAGGTATCAGTAACCTGGCTCTGGAGAAAACCCAGCACACGTCTGGATTTCTTTATGCCTATTCATGTCTTATTTTCCAGCATTCACCCCACATATTCCAGCAGAGCCATGCCTCGCCAACCTTCTCACTGTCGACGTGTCACATACCCGGTCTTCTGTGAACCTTACTGTGTCTTGTTTTCGCACATTGAATAAAACTTCGTCAGTGCTGACTTGTTCTTTCCTGAAAAAACAATTGGCATTATGTATCTAAAGAACTGTAGGCCATGGGGCCCGCGATACCTAACCTACGAAAACACATGTGGTAGTAGGAATCTAAATCAATCTTTATAAATATCAAAAGAAAAGACTTTCAATTTTTATGATATACAGTGTTTCATCTGTCCAAGATCCATTCGGTCTACAGCAATATACTCCAGCATTTTGATAATGATATCTATCTTTCGATGATGTACAATAGTGATGATCATTTCTCATGTATATATTTCATACGACGAAGTACCCGATATCCCTATCAAACTGAGTGGTATAGTTAACTCTTGAACCCATGGAATTATAATATGAGAATGCTATGAAAGTCTTTGGTAGCGAATTGACCATGACCAGGGGGAGTTCGTAGAATAATTATGTATTCCGTGATAATTCTGAAATAATCAGAAAAGGCAATAAACACTCTGGTGAAAAAATATATTCATTCAGAAAGATCATTCATTTTCCACTGACAGGCACCAATACCATAATTTTGTGTCGCTCTATCGTTGCATTATTTAGACAGTAAGTTACAGTAGATTTTCATATAACAGTAATTTCATATAACAGTGTGAGATCTATCTTTTAATCGCACACAAATGGCAATGTTTCCACAATTTTATGTTCTACAGTTGTCTAAAGTAGGCCAAATGTATCAAATAATGTTGTCGCCATAGCACCCTATGGTAGGTATGGCGTGTCTAAAATCACATCTAATCAGTATGGCCAGTTTTTCCTCCAAATAATTTCTACCAATGACATAAAATGATGCTGTTGCCACAAAGGTGAAGAGATACGTTACTGCTACTACAAATACTGTGTTTAGGAGTAACTATGTTGTTAATGAAAACTATTTTTTAAGGACACTGAAGGCATGGCATAACGTAACTTCTTGCTTTACCCATGTTGTGTTAAAAAAGCAATGTTTATGTTTCCACACGAGATTTTGAACAGAACCTTTAACAGGGAACCTAGAATTAATCGAAACATAACCTCGTCACTGCTGTATAACATACACCCATGCAACACCCTCACCTTACTTCATTCATACAACCTGAAAATTGCTGATTACAGTTTACAATTGTCTAAAACGAACTCAGAAACGATTTTGCCAAACAAATAAGTTACCAACTGATACGTACTCATTATCTGTTTATGTACCAATTATAAATTTCCCACTGAAATTACAATTAAATCGCGCATTATTTGCGCAGTTGGTGTGAGTTTTGTCATTTGACACATTACTAACTGAAAAAGTACACAGGAAGATTTTTAAATGCTATCAAGATATTTGTGGGGACTCTTATGAAAATAGGTAATTAACAACATGATAGTCATCATTTTTACTTTCTGGCTTATTGGGTGTTCTTTGACTTGTAGTTTAGCAAGGGTGTTTGTAGATAAAATGATAAAAAATATGTTTCTGATAATTCTGTTGGTAACGTATATGATTTCCAAAGTAACATATCTGTTTATGAGGCCACGTATCTGAATCATGTTGTTCTATGCAACAATATAAACAGAGAATGGTTTATGTTTGATGAAATGAACATGCAAGCAAGTCTAAGGCAACATCCATATGATGGAAGAGATTCTTTGCTCGGCTTTGTGATGGTTCGACAAAAGACGGTATCTGCAATGGTAACGCACAAAAGCAGAATTTTGACTGGGTCTTTGGTGAAAGAATTACTTGTAAATGAGAATCTTCCAGCTCCTGGGACATCACATAATGCTCATAGTTCCTTAAATCCAAGACAGGTGCCAGATGTAGAGTATTTCATTGCTGCAGTGCATGATGACTAGTGGCACGTTAGACAAGTTCTGGAAGAGGATGAAGTGAATGGAGAAAACGTTTGATTCAGAAACGATTCAAATGACCTGATGAGATTTTGATTCCATTTAAGGACATTCTCTGTTTAGTGGAACCCAATCCAGTCGGTCACTCCAGAAGGTCCTTCGGGTTATCCAGTGAGGATGGCATGAGTGAGTGGGTGAGTGAGTTTAAGTTTAACGCCGCACTCAGCAATATCCCAGCTTTATGGCGGCGGTCTGTAAATAATCGAGTCTGGACCAGACAATCCAGTGATCAACAGCATGAGCATCGATGTGCGCAATTGGGAACCGATGACATGTGTCAACCAAGTCAGCGAAACTGACCATCCGATCCCGTTAGTCGCCTCTTACGACAACCTGAAATTAACGTTACATACTATCATCTCAAAATATGTAGCATTTGATATAAAACACCCCTTTCATATATAATGGACTCTTCCAAGTGAAATTACTTTATCTGCAATATGAATCTTCCTAAACAATGACACTGCCTGAAATACTTCCAAATAATATCTACAAAGCTGCATCATAAAAAATTAATCATACCTGAAAAGTGAAATCTCACGGTTATAGTTGTTTTGACAGTCAACGTCTCTCCTCACGAGCGGGCTTGTAAATACCATGCTCTTTTCCAAGATGAACGGAACTTCCTGTGCGACACACCATGCGTACTAGGCTATATAAATTAGACATAAAAAAATAGGAATCATTATTTTCTGAACTAAGAATTAACCTACTAAACCTGTTGCCTATTCTGATAGCATACTTTACAAAGTTTGCCACAAATAATTGGCCTTGAACAATTTATTTCTAGGTTTGAGAGAACTGCACATTTGCTCTTCAACATTTGTCAAATTATTATGCCAATGTTTGTACAACGCCAATATCCAGCTCAGCTGCTCAAAGGCGCTTTGTTTTTCCCTCGATCATTGGATGTCACACTCAAACGGCATATCGGATTGTCCATCTCAACTCCCTGGGTATCACACAACTCTTGTAGCCACTAGTCGCACCAAGTTAATGTGACTTTCTCATCCTTACGAGGTACCCATTCACAGCTGGGAGGACTGGGACACAGTCACAGTACTTTGTCCAAGTTCACTGTACGTTGCTGTACCTGCAACTAGGTGTTTGCACGTATTCACGTGGCCACCATCTGGTCATATACCAACGGATTCCCGTGGTGTTTTTTTTAAGTGCACAGGGTTGTATAACGCGCTTAGGAGCAGTGCAAAGTGATTGGTGTTAAACATTAGCTGATGTCACGAGTCTGTCCCAAGTTAGTTTGTTATCAAAACAGGTGAAACGAGGAGATAGGGGCAGTGGATATCATAACTGAGTGAGTGAGTTGGTTTTACGCCGCTTTTATCAATATTCCAGCAATATCACGGCGGAGGACACCATAAATGGGCTTCACACATTTGTGCCCATGTGGGGATTCGAACCCGGATCGTCAGCGTGACGAGCCGACGCTTTAACCATTTGGCTACCCCACCAACCCCTATCATAACTGAAGGGAAATTGAAAGCAAGTGCTGTGAAGTATCTTTGTGACAATGCTGTTAACATGTTATATTCTATATATTGTGTGTATATGGCATAGTTGCAAATTTCTTTACTTGCAATTATGACTGTCAAATATGCGACAAACAATTCGTGAATAGTTAACAAGCAGGCGGTATGGTGAGTGAGTGAGTGAGTTTAGTTTTACGCCGCACTCAGCAACATCCCAGCTATATGGCGGAGGTCTGTAAATAATCGAGTCTGGACCAGACAATCCAGTGATCAACAGCATGAGCATCGATCTGCGCAATTGGGAACCGATGACATGTGACAACCAAGTCAGCGAAACTGACCACCCGATCCCGTTAGTCGCCTCTTACGACAACCATAGTGGCCTTTTATGGCAAGCACATGGGTTGCTGAAGACCTATTCTACTCCGCATCTTCACGGGTCAGGCGGTATGGCAGGATATGCAACGGATTGGGTACTTACACTGCAAACGCATTTAAACTAACTAATATTTTGCATTCGAGATGAGAAAGAAACCCTTAGTTCTACAGATAGAGTAAGAAATAAATGTACGAGTAAAACAGCTTACACCTGTTAAATATTTAATACGACTAGGTCAGAATTCTTCCGTGACACCAAGTGTACAAAGGAATGGTGATATCTAACAGTGTCCAAAGAGAAGATGCACTTGAATGTCTTACGGGTTTGCGAAGTGTGTGGTGGAATGGGGCTTAGAATTGGAGTAAACCCACAATCCCAGTCTGTTGTCAACTTGTCATCCAAGTGGCTTATAATGCCAAAGCCATGCATCCGTACTTTCAAGTTCTCACTGGACCCTAAATCCTGAATATATGCCTTCGTACTGGATTCCAGAGATCCACAAACGTCCTTACAGGGTGTCCATCGAAAGCACCGCCAAATCCTGTTCTCCCAGTTTAACCATAATCCTTCAAGTAATTGATAAACTTTCTTTATATTCACAAATTATTTTACATATGATGAGTGAGTTCCTCACAGCTTGCATAAGAGCTGAAGATGTAATCCTGTCAACCCTCATCAAGCAACGAACCTCAAACTTCCAGTTCTCGAAAGTTGTCTCAAGAAACAACACCAGTTGATATCAAGCAAAGAGGGGACAATCGCCTATAGGATACGGCCTAGGAAGCAGTGTAGGATAGGGAAAAATGAAATAGACTCCAAGTGTATGATCCTAACAGTTTATAACATTAAGAAACGCGGACGCGGAATAAAGAGAATAAACAACGCGAGTGCATGGCACTAAAATTATTGCAAGTGAAAATGACTGACGCGTACTCACAAGCAATACCAAATGTAAACAGTCAACTATTGCAATCAAGTCAGCACACTGATGTAGTACTAAGTATGCATTGTCATTTTATAGACAATAGGTTGTTTAGATATAATGTAACTAACTAATCTAAATTAATCTAACCAATCTAACTAACCAATGAAACTAATCTAGCTAACGAAACTAATAAAGCTAATGAAACTAAAACTAATCTAATGAAACTAATCTAGCTAATGAAACTAATCTAATGAAACTAATCTAACTAATGAACTTATCTAATGTAACTAATCAAGCTAATCAAACTAAAACTAATCAAAGTAATCTAATGAAACTAGTCTAGCTAATGAAACTAATCTACTAACTGAAACTAACTAATGAAACTAATCTAGCTAATGAAACTAATCTAGCTAATCTAACTAATGAAACTAATCTAACTAATGAACTAATCTAACTAAACTAAAACTAATCTAATGAAACTAATCTACTAATGAAACTAATCTCTAATGAAACTAATCAAACTAATGAAACTAATCTAACTCTAATCTAATGAAACTAATCTAGCTAATGAAACTAATCTAACTCTAACTAATGAAACTAATCTAACTAATGAAACTAATCTAGCTAATGAAACTAATCTAATGAAACTAATCTAACTAATGAAACTAATCTAGCTAATGAAACTAATCTAACTAATGAAACTAATCTAGCTAATGAACTAATCTAGCTAATGAAACTAATCTAACTAATGAAACTAATCTAATGAAACTAATCTAACTAATGAAACTAATCTAATAATCTAATCTAATGAAACTAATCTAGCTAATGAAACTAATCTAACTAATGAAACTAATCTAGCTAATGAAACTAATCTAGCTAATGAAACTAATCTCTAATGCTAATCTAACTAATGAAACTGAAACTAATCTAATGAAACTAATCTAATGAAACTATGAACTAATGAAACTACCAATGAAACTAATCTAACTAATGAAACTAATCTAGCTAATGAAACTAATCTAATGAAACTAATCTAATGAAACTAATCTAGCTAATGAAACTAATCTAGCTAATGAAATCTAATCTAATCTAGCTAATGAAACTAATCTATGAAATGAAACTAATCTAACTAATGAAACTAATCTAATGAAACTAATCTAAGCTAATGAAACTAATCTAGCTAATGAAACTAATAACTAATGAAACTAATCTCTGAAACTAATGAAACTAATCTAATGAAACTAATAAACTAATGAAACTAATGAAGCTAATTCCTAACTAATGAAACTAATGAAACTAATGAAACTAATCTAGCTAATGAAACTAATCTAAGCTAATGACTAACTAACTAATCTAACTAATGAAACTAATAAGCTAATGAAACTAATCTACTAATCTAACTAATGAAACTAATCTAGCTAATGAAACTAATCTAACTAATGAAACTAATCTAGCTAATGAAACTAATCTAATGAAACTAATCTAGCTAATGAAACTAACTAATCTAAACTAATCTAATAGCTCAATCTAATGAAACTAATCTAACTAATGAAACTAATCTAGCTAATGAAACTAATCTAACTAATCTAACTAATCTAACTAATGAAACTAATCTAGCTAATGAAACTAATCTAGCTAATGAAACTAATCTAACTAATGAAACTAATCTAATGAAACTAATGCTAATGAAACTAATCTAGCTAATGAAACTAATCTAATTGAAGCTAATGAAACTAATCTAGCTAATGAAACTAATCTAATGAAATGAATCTCTAATGAAACTAATCTAATGAAACTAATCTAACTAATGAAACTAATCTAGCTAATGAAACTAATCTAACTAATGAAACTAATCTCTAATGAAACTAATCTAATGAAACTATCTAATGAACTAATGAAACTAATCTAATGAAACTAATCTAACTCTAGCTAATGAAAACTAAACTGATCTAATGAAACTAATCTAACTAATGAAACTAATCTAATCTAATGAAACTAATCTAATGAAACTAATGAAACTAATCTAACTAATAACTAATGAAACTAATCTAACTAATGAAACGAAAATCTAACTAATGAAACTAAACTAATCTAATGAAAAACTAATCTAATCTAGCTAATGAAACTAATCTAGCTAATGAAACTAATCTAACTAATGAAACTAATCTAACTAATGAAACTAATCTAACTAATGAAACTAATCTAACTAATGAAACTAATCTAACTACTCTCACTAATGAAACTAATCTCTAATGAAACTAATCTAACTAATGAAACTAATCTAACTAATGAAACTAATCTAACTAATGAAACTAATCTAACTAATCTAACTAATGAAACTAATCTAACTAATGAAACTAATCTAACTAATGAAACTAATCTAACTAATGAAACTAATCTAACTAATGAAACTAATCTAACTAATGAAACTAATCTAACTAATGAAACTAATCTAATGCTAAACTAATCTAACTAATGAAACTAATCTAAGCTAATCTAATGAAACTGAAAATCTAATGAAACTAATCTAGCTAATGAAACTAATCTACTAATGAAACCAAATCTAACTAATGAAACTAATCTGAAACTAATGAAACTAATCTAATGAAACTAATCTAGCTAATGAAACTAATCTAACTAATGAAACTAATCTAATGAAACTAATGAAACTAATCTGAAACTAATGAAACTAATCTAACTAATGAAACTAAACTAATGAAACTAATCTAACTAATGAAACTAATCTAACTACTTATCTAATGAAACTAATGAAACTAATGAAACTAGCTAATGAAACTAATCTAACTAATGAAACTAATCTAGCTAATGAAACTAACTAATGAAACTAATCTAGCTAATGAAACTAATAGCTAATGAAACTAATCTAAACTAATCTAATGAAACTAATCTGAAGCTAATGAAACTAATCTAGCTAATGAAACTAATCTAACTAATGAAACTAATCTAATCTAATGAAACTAATCTAACTAATGAAACTAATCTAACTAACTAATCTAATGAAACTAATCTAAGCTAATGAAACTAATCTAGCTAATGAAACTAATCTAACTAATGAAA